ACTGACCACCTCTATCATTATTTCCAATGAGCCAACTTTTCATTGCGAATTCTGCCTTTAAGCTTAGGAACCCGTATGATCTTGAGGTACACATCGTCCAACCAGCTATCGCATGCTTGAGCCTTGCGAGTCAGGAGGAAGAGAATTGTTGATCAATACATTCAGCAATGAGGTGTTCGGTGTGAATTTTGAATTGGTTTATTCAATGGGAAGAAAAATTACTCACACCAGCTGCAATGTAGCCGGCCGATGTACCACCGAGATGTCGATTGGCGAAGCCAAATGACAACCATACACATATCACGCTTAGTATTGCAAAAATAAACGAGTAGACGAGTTCCTGAAATCCTCTCACATTTTGAGGGAACCCAGTGCGACCATTTTTGAGTTTCTCGAAAAGTGAAGCTTCGACAGCTAAAAGGGTCAACTATTAAAGACATTCGAAAAAAGCTTAACCCTACGAGAAGACCACTATTAGCCACCTGGGGTTTTTTTTTGAGGTAATTAGATTCCTATTCATGTTGTGAGATGAGTTCATTGCTTTGTCAGTTGGCCGCAGATGTGTTTGGCAGAGGAACTGGGCATAACAGACGCTAACAAACTGTTGGTAAGCCTTCATATCCATCCAGTCATGTCTGTCCTGATTGTGCGCTGCTGGATTCATGGCTCTCCTCCGCTCTACTTAACATTTTTTGATCGTTAATCGCTGTTTTTGACTGCATTTGGCTTTGCGAAAGTCTTCCAGGATGCTGGGTTACGAACAATCCTGGCGGGACTCAGAACCCGCACCCTTCGCTTACCGGGCAAGTGCGCTACCAGTTACGCTACCGGGGCACCGTTTCGCCTAACTCAGCTTTTCATGATATAGTTACCATAGCTTATTCAACATTTGTTATTTCATGGTTTCCTTTAATTATTACATTACACCAAATCTGGTAAAAGGATGTTCCTTATCGAGGTAGCAGTCGCTATATATGGAGTGGAGATTCACTCAAACATTTTTTACAGCAGGAGAAAACTCACTACGACGTTCCATGGTACACTACCGTTCGAAATGCTATCCATAATCGAGTCCTGTAGGCCCAGCGCCAGAAGTACGGTAGCAGCTATTGAGATCTAAAAAAGTGGACACCGTCATCATTCCCGCAGGTGGTAGAGCCGTATGAATAATTCGTTGCTTAGAGCAAGCAGTTCGAGACCCCGAAAATTTCGGAGCTTCTAAACGATTATGAAAGGAATGAAAGGACTCACCAACATAGAAGTGATTATGACAAACCATAAAACGCCGTTTTCCGATCCAGCCGTTGAGCCAACACAGATTGCAAGAATGATGGCGTTCAGCTGTAATGTTTCTGGATAACGTTCTTTTTCAATATTTTGATTTTCGTTGTATTTTCAGCCATTCTTTAAGAACTTAGGGAGGCTATTCACAATTTCATTCAAATTCATTTAGATTCAAAATTTGGATCGCTGCGCTGTCGCCATGGTCAAAAAAGGTCCCATTCTCGAGAGCCGTCATCATCAAGCCATTCGCTCGATGTGGGACACATCAACTTTAGTTGACCTTTAGTCGGATATGGGACGTTCAGACTTCAGTTTGCAAAATGGCTGGCTATTAGTGCGGCTGCGTGTGGGGTAATTTTTTTTTTTTTTTTTTTTTGCAGGAGCATAATAGGGTATGTACACATCAACGAATTCATCTATTCCGCCCCCGTTGAAAGAGATACGTCATTTATTCCGATTTCCGTCATTTTCACAATGACAGTTTCCTAATACTCGTCCTTTCAAAAAGGACAGTGAGAAAAATTGAAAATTCAAGCATTTCTTCTAATGGGAAGGGGCAATTAGCTTTTGATCGACAATCTTCCGTACCCGCTAAGGCCTCATCTGGCGCAACGTTGGAAACATTATTTTTATGCTCATGTCAAAATGAATTTTAGGGATATTCAATTGTTACTAGTTTACAAAGTTCTTTTGGAAGGCGAAAGCGGCTTACTTACTTGAGGGCTTTTTGGAATATGTGTGGCATCTTGAGGAACACGTTGTCGGAGTGTTCAATTTGATCCCGGAGATTTACGAAAGACATCGTGGACTTCTGTAAGCATGTTCATCAGGCAAAATTTTAGTGGTAAAGGCAGAAATCGCAATGATGACGAGCGAATCGATATAGGTGTTTATGAATCAACACCATGCTTTTCCATGCAAGAGGCGCATTTAATATCATTTTAAAGTTGCGAATTTTGTGTCAGAAGTTGGAAGGCGCTGATGATTACTGGGATAGCTGTTGAAACATTTCTTAATAAACGCTTCGTACCCAGTCAGCGATGTAGCAGGGCACTGGCCTACTGCAAGTTTGAAAATTGTAAATTGGTAAACACCCGATAAATTCCCCGCCGTTTTTGGGCCTTGTTTGTTTTTTTTCGCATTTCAGATAGGAAGAGAGTGTATGTGGCTTTTTGGAAGTGCATTAATTTCTTCAAAAAATTCACCAGCAGTTTCAATGACTTGTTCTCAATCAAATAGCAAAGGAGTTTGATACTACAGTGTTCAGTCTGCGTGTAATGTGATTTTCCGCTTCCTGAGCTTATACCGCATTTCCATACAATAAAAAAACACCTTCGCTGTGTTGTATTTGAGTGCTTCGATCGAAAAGACTGCCATCCTGTTGATTGGTTTAGCCTGATAAGATGCCACCATGCAGAGGATTAATTGCGAAGATTTAAAACAGTTTAGTGCAGCCACTATTTGTCGTTAGTCTTTGGCTTGATCCGAAACCGTCCCGTTCCTTATTAATGCGATGCATTGCGCAACGAAGGATGTGCGATTCATTCAAGATTCTCCCTCCAGCAGTCCTTCAAGCCCACACTTTTTCCTAGCCGTTAAATTGTTTTGTCAAAATATTAAACGCAACATTCTAAAGAGCAGGTGTTAGAAGGAAGGCATCTAGACACCTGCAGCTTTTATGCAAATGCTTTGATGGAAAAGCGAAACGAGTCGTTCAAAAAGTTCTATGTCTTTAGAAAAAAAATAAATATAAACAAACACGTTGGTTATATACAATAATGTATATTTTTATAAAATTACGTAATTGCGGAAACGTATTTCCAATCGTGTAAAGACTGAATAAATTAAAGTGACCTGTGCTATTTTTTCTTCTGTGGTCAATCTAACCTTCAACCAGTTGAAGGCAAAACCAAGTATCATGACGAAGCACAATGACTTTATTGAGTTTATCAGGCAATATCTCTTGAGTTATTATCCGCGGATTGTTAACTGGGCTGAATATGAAAGAACAATATATTTTATGTAACGAAATTGGTCACCGGGACCTCCTTACCTGCTAAGCTTTACTCCTTCCAATGTGCTCCCATCCACTGGTGACATGGACACCTCGTGGAGGTGGCACGCATGCACAAAAAAGTGTCTTATATAGTAGAAGGCATTACCGTAATCGTGACATGACCTTAGAATGATATTAATTGGACCTCAGGTCTTTTGGCGGTTAGCTCCCCTCGCCCTTCTCCATCTTATCCTATTCCCTCTACTGCTCTCCAGCTGCTATTGCAGCATCATGTGGAATGAATGAGACCATGCTCAGTAGGTGTTTATATAGCCGTTGGGGTGTTATCACATTGATAGCACTGCAAAACATTGATTGCTAAAGTCATAGTTACTCGATTTTGTTAACGGTCTGTTTACTTCACGAGTTTCCCTACCACTTCATTTTGCGGACGGACACACAGACATACATACATACACACATACAGACATACAAACCGACACACAAAGTTAGCGCTTTATAAAATAGAAGGATTACATAACCCAATTCGATCAGTCTTCACTTATCTTCGACTTCGACAAAATCTTATTTTTGATAAAAGCTCTGTCATAGCTAGTTTTGTTGGTGACTTACTGAACATACAGATAGAAAGGTTGGACTAGATTGGAATAATGCTCGGGGAGTAATTTTCGCAACTCCTGTCCCATAGGCGCTTCGAAGGAAATATAGCAACTAGGAGGATTGCCGATAAATACCATTCTTTTCCTCTTGAACCATCGCTTGCCCACTGAAATCCATCTACACTCGCATCTTCGATTTGTTCTCACTTATTGTTGTGGCTTTTCTGATCGGCTTCATTTATAACTCATGTTGCTTATGTAGCATTCTGAGTTGCATCTTTCTTTTTCCGTGACTCCTTGGCAGTAAGCAAGGTGATGGAGATACGCGTCTGCGATGCTGGAATTACTCAAACCTCTAGATTTAGAGGTGGTCCACGCTTTAGTAGTTCACTACTTTTATGAATACAAAGTCCAAAAATGGTTTCACCCAACAAAGTCTTCTCGAGGACTCTGATTGACTTTTGACGTTCGATGAATAGAAGTGCAGCAACTCCATCCTGGAGTAGAATTTTGTGGGGTAACGGCGAGTGACGCTGCTTATCCCGTGCGCGATCCGAGGATCAAATCCTGGGTCCTACGTCGTTTGCTCACTAAGCCTTCTATCTCTCACAATCGCGAGCCCTTCAATTTGCATCAGACTTGTCAGGGATAAGAACCCCTGACTTGTACATTATCTGGCCCCCACACATTTTTACTTTAATTTACTTATTTATCGAATGTAGATGTAGACCCACGCAGACAACAGCTTGCAAAACAAAAGATGCTGCAATTTTCAACGGAAATGATTCGTACTGCGACAAAACTCATGGAGTGCGATTCCGTCTGTGCAATCATTGTGTAGGCCAAACTGCATTCAAATTGCCCCTACAAGTCTGAATGGAAATAGAATGCGTGGCGCACACCGAAACAGTGATTAGCGCCTGTTTTGCCCTTATGTTTTAACATGGGAGAACTCATGAGCGCAAACTTCAAAAATCTCAGCCGTCAGAAAACGTCTTCCGAACCCAGTGTTGTACTTCGAATTTTTGCTGATTATTTTTGATGACTTTCATGATCGAGCTTCTTTCTTCAAGATTTCGATATCTATAGACTCCGCTCCCTTCATTATGCTTATCCGAGAATATAAATATCCAAAACGTGAACTTTTGCCCCCCTCAAAGGCCTTAAAAAAACATGAAATGTTTTCATCGAAAGAAGGTGCCGTATTTCAAAGAACTTCTTTCTGTTCACTGGACATGTCAGGTTCGTGATTCACTGCCAATGACATTGTTTTGCACCACGGCTGTTGGAAACGACAACAACATCGCTGCAGTTTCCCACCAATATTGACTAGTTATTTGGTCAAGTTACTATCGGCTAGAGTCTGTTTCATGGTTCATTCTCAGTTCCAGGTTAGGTCGTTGGCTCCCTCAGAGCACATATTATGCGTACATCGTGATAGGAAGGGCTATGATACTTATTAGTTCGGGTTGCAAACGCCGTGACCAACTACTAGCGCCATGTCCCTGATAGATGTGAACTGCATTCGATAGTCCAATCAATACTTAGAAGTTGTAAACGAAAAGAAAACGAAGGTGATGTTAGAGATGTTGTGGAACAGGGGAAAACGAATGAGCCAGCAATCGATTGGAGTCACTTATCATGTTCAACGTTATGCATGCGTCAAACATTCGAGCAAACACACCTAGGTTATCATAGTAAACGAGTAAAGAGAGGGGCAATGTGGCAGACTGGCCTGACGAGTTTTTCAGACGCTTGAAATTGCTGTTACTACTACGCGGCACCCAATTTTCGACTTCTTTGGGCTTTTTACCCTCACCGCTATGTTGGAAATCTTTCGTCGGTTACGCCCAATTCAGAAGCAGCTTGTTCAACAGTTTCATGCAGATTTGCTTTGGTCAAAACCCTCAGCTGATCTTTATCAGTCTCCGATATCACTAATCTCCTTCGAAGCTTTCAACATCGCGAGAAAGACATTTTGAATTACGACTGCACAGCGTATTTTTGTGGACTCAGAACCAAATGCTCAGTTGATATCGCAACTTGCTTCCGCACATTTCCGAGCAAGTTTGAGGGGAAACAAGAAACTAGTGCAAAGCAGGCTGTTGAGTATGTTGTATTCAAGACTTCAAAAAA